GATAAATAAGGGAGTTAAAACTACTTGGAAAACACACAAGTGTTTAGACCCAACTGATATCTCAGACAAGTCAAATTTCCTTTCTTACAAAGTGCAGAGTTTTGACTAGAAATGAAAAAATAGGAGGGCAACAGAAAAATAGTTAAATGACTTATTTTATCTGTAAAGCAACCCATAAAGCAACCTTAATCTTACATTTAGGAAACCAGTAAAACCCACTCTTGTTTCCAGATGCAATGTAATTTTATTTTTAAGAGACAGCCTCACTTTATGCTGTCCAGGCTGGACTGCAGTGACTATTCACAGGTATGATCATAGTTCATGGCATCCTTGAACTCCTGGACTCAAGCAATCCTCCCACCATCTGGTCCCAGCTTCCCAAATAGCTGGGACTACAGGTGTACACCACCAGCCTACCTGTATATTTATTTATACCATTTTCCTATACAGCTTTAGACAGTTTCAAAAATACCACATACATTATTCCAAGGTGGTCATGAGGAGAATTTTCACAAAGCTCCCCATTTCAATTACTGATACTTCTTTGGTTCATTTGATACAACTCTACAAAGATAAATAGAGAATGATCGATTTATCTAATCAAAGATTACACCCCAGAAATGAAGCTCTTTCCTTTTTCTGTAGTATCATTTTCAAAACAATCATTATTTAAATGTGCAACTATATTTTTATTAAAATATTAAAATATAAATCTATTACAAGTCCAGTAAACTTAGCACAAACATTTCCACAAATAAACTTTAAGGAATGTTGACAAAATCCAAACTCCAAATTCCAACTTAATTTGGTAGTCTTTTACTTTGTATGCTGAAATGTATGAATGTTCCAATGATTAAATTTTTAAAATTTAAAAATCACTCCCATTTCTGTAAATTTAAATTGTATAAGACCTTTGGAAGCACTAGCAATGTGCACAGCCTTTTGACATTAAGTTTGGGGGAAGAATAAGACAAATGTATTAGATGACTCAATAATAAAGCACTGTATCTCTGTAGTTCCTTGGAGTTGATGGTGCACATTCACCTTTAGTCCAAAGCAGCGAGCAGTGGTGGCCCCAATAGTTCCCAAAGAGGCAGCACTGGAATTGCAGGCAAGAGCCAATCAGAGTAGCCAGGGCAGTGGGCAGCAGTGTTACATGCTGTCCTGGCCAGAAAAGAATTCGAGTTTTGTGACTGCTGGATTCTAAAAGGGGTGATGACGTAACCTGAGAAGGACGTAAGGTAATGTGTATTTTAATTCACAGATGAAGAGTTTTAAATACCAGCTACATGTTTCTACTGTGTGAAGCACTTAACTTGGAGTATATGCTATCTGCCTAATATGTGGAACAGTATGGCACCAAGTATAAATAAGCTCAAGACTTGTTTGTTGTTTTCAAGAGGCTAGTTGTAACTATCACCTTAATAAACAAGAGGAGCAGAATATTTGACTTATCCTTTGTAAATACCAACTGCCCTTCTATATAAATCCAGTTGGCCTTAAAAGTTATTTTAATCAGTAGGTGAGTTTGTTCATGTCTACATCAACAATATCACCTAAAACAAGGGAATTTTAAAAGCAATACTATCTTTTAGAAAACAGAAAATCAAGCATACTTAGGTTCTGGAACTACATATTTCACAGTTAATTGTCTTAATTATCCAAATATGAGTGATCAATGAGTTAGAGCTGTGAAGGCTGCACAAATATAAAGGCAGTGCCTTACTTCAATGAATTTAGTATTGATAACATATAATTGTATTTTGCAAAATACTTTCAAGAAAAATGACTAAAATTTTACTCCGCCTAAATAAACTAAGTAGAGTACATCTCTAAAAGACAACTTAAGAACTATCTTCCCTATTCAACTCTAGTTTTTACTAAAATGACAGCCAGATAAGCATAACTGTCCCATTAGCTTTCCAAGAGAATGGGTAAATACATTATTTTATTATATTGTCAATTAAGACCTATATAAACAAGAAGAACACATTTTTTGGGGGAGAAACTTTGGAGGTTAATCTAGACTATGCTAATATTGTAAAGTCTAAAATAGGATTTTATCATGAGAAGTCTTCCAACAAATTGTGATATCATTCAGACTATGCTCTCTGTCCTCTGAGGCCTCTCATGATTTATTTCCACACATTCTGACTATTTTCTAGTGCATGCTTATCTCCTCAACCAGACAATAAAGTGTGTAGAGTCTTCAGACTTCACTGGGATCCAACCCAATGAATAAACACTTATTAATGAAGACATAGTATGTTATTCTGATTTTCTTTTTTTAGGTCCAAAATCTGAAACAATGATTGCACATATGACTTTCCAGAGAGCCTTGCAATCAATTTTACAAAAGCAACAAACCTAACAGTTCAGCAACACAGTATCTGCCTACCATCTCCCTGTAGTATTTTTACTGCCACTATTTCACCACCAGCATTTACAATAATTATAGGCTTAACGAATTCATTAAACTTTATTTAAAAAGTCTTTCCAGATTAAAAAAAATAATTTGTTGTTGTTTCAAACAACCTGCCTCTTCTTCACTTCATTCTTTTTTATATCTACCAGATGCTGTTTTTTTTTTAATGAAAGTCTATAAATCATATAGATTTATTTTTTCCTTGGGTTTTTGTTTAAGCTTTCTTAATTAACGTTTACAGAAGGATTAATCAAGGAATAAAGTTTGGGACCTTAGGGTTAGCAAAATATTTAATTTTCCTTCACATTCACTGATTATTTTAAATATGAAAAGAACTATGAAAAAAGCTTTACATAATTTATAAGCAGTCATTCCTGATAAATACATTTGCAGCAAAAATAAGCTCAGAGTAAAATGTGACTTTAGTGACAGAGTTATTTCCACATACAGGATTGCCTTCTTATTTAGGCAAACGAGCCTTTAAAAATACTAAAGATACAGAAAGTAGGGTGAGCACCCATCCTGTTTCCCCAGATGGTCTTGTTAATGATGGTTGTGTCCTGTCTCTTTAGTGTCCCCTTATACTATACAATGTGCTTTGCTTTGGAGGATAAATTTATGGTCACTCTGGAGATAAGCCATATCAAAACTGTGTGAAAATAGTGTGATCAATAGCTGAAATACTTCAAACTAAAGACGAATTTTTCAAAAGACTCTCAGTAAAGTTTGAGTTTCAGTGTTGAGCACTTTAATGTGTTAGTCAAGTTCCAAAAATTCAGCATTGGATAGAGAGTAATAAAAACAAGCTCATTTAATTGATTAAAATATCGTTGCTTTCAAGCCATTATTAACTTTCATATAGAGAGACTATGTTTTTAAAGTTTTTAAAGTTAAATAATTTTAAAAGAACTCCATTTAAAATGGATCATTTAGGCCAGGTGCGGTGGCTCACGCCAGTAATCCCAGCAGTTTGGGAAGCTGAGGTGGGAGGATTACGAGGTCAGAAGTTTGAGACCAGCCTGGCCAACATGGTGAAACCCCATCTCTACTAAAGACAAAAAATTAGCCGGGATGGTGCTGAGCGCCTGTAGAACCAGCTACTCAGGAGGCTGAGGCAGGAGCATCGCTTGAACTCCGGAGGCAGAGGTTGCAGTGAGCCGAGATCGCGCCATTGCACTCCAGCCTGGGCAACAGGATGAATCATTTAAAAGGCCAAATTTAAACGATATTTGAAAAACTTTTAGATTTTCAGACTCTAACAAAATCACCAGTTGCATTAGAGTCTCAGAGAAATAAATATTTAAAAATTGTAAATGAAGATACTGTGTGTGTGTGTGTGTGTGTTTGTGTGCGTGTGTGCGTGTGCTATAGACTGATTTGGACCACTTCTGAAGTCTACTAGTTCCCTTCTAAGAAAAATATTTACTATCACACCTGTAATCCCAGCACTTTGGGAGGCTGAGGCAGGTAGATCACGAGGTTGGGGGTTTGAGACTGGCTTGGCCAACATGGTGAAACCCCATCTCTACTAAAAATACAAAAAAATTAGCCTGGCATGGCGGTGGGCACCTATAATCCTAGCTACTCAGGAGGCTGAGGCAAGGAGAATCGCTTGAACCTGGGAGGTGGAGGTTGCAGTGAGCCAAGATCACCACACTGCACTCCAGCCCAGCCAACAATGCAAGACTCCTTCTCAAAAAAAAAAAAAAGAAAGAAAGAGAAATATTTGCTAAATACATAAAACAAGACACAAAGTATTATAATGGAAATAAAATACACTGAAATGCAACTATTAAAATATCAATATATATATTTCAAAATTTGATAAAGTAATATATGAGCTCTTCATTAACTCATTAAATACTAGTAAGGAACAGCTCTAATAGCAATAATAATTGCCAACTAGCAATAAGTGTAAATGATATTTTGAAGTTGTCTACAATAGCTGTAATATGATCTGAAAAGTCACAGGACTGTCCATGTTACTCATGTTTGTTGATTACTTTCACAGTTGGAGGAAAGGCTTTACCTCAGTTAGTGAAAATAAAATTTTAATTCTTCCCAACCAAGTTCATGGGCTTTTTTTATTCTATCCTTATCATTACAACACCAAGAAAGTCTAGAAGTCAAACAAGTTTGTTCTAGGTGCTCAATTAATTAATCAAAGAATTACTCTTTCTTGTAATCAGGCTGCAAAACTACATTTCGAAAAACAAAAAGTCCCCCGAATTCTGTTTTTTTCCTTATCTAATACAGGTCTTCACTGAAAATTCATCTCAGTTCATTGTGTGAGTGAAAGCAGTCAAATAAAATGTAGTATAGATGCTGAATATATTGAATGAAAACAAAGTGGGTGCTTTATAGAATTTTTCTAAAACTCAAAACTGAAAAGTTTTGAAAACACAGACATGACATTTTATCTTAAGTGTTTTATCTCTTTAACCTTATCACTAATATTTGAAAGCCAAAATTTTTGCAGTTTTTCTTGATTTGCATTTTCTTATTTTAATTTTACAGTGTAATGTATTAATTGACTGTTTATACTTTCTTTTTCAAAACGTTGAATGAAATCCAGTAAGCAAGGACACCAAATATGTACATGCACAGCAAGGTCCCTCAGCCATAGCAGCAGCACTTCCTGGAACAGACTACAAGTGGCAGATGAGTGGTAATTAAACACAGCTGCTGCCCAAGAGGTAAGGTAGAATCATAGATCATTAGAACCTTAAGGGACTGGAGAAGACTTTTTGTCTAACCCTTCCCTTTGCAAGTGAGGAATAAGAGACAATGAGTAGTTAGAAGATTGCTTTGGGCCAAGGGTAACCCTGGAGAAGCATGAATGATGTCTGATAGTTAATGTAACACTCTTTTTACCACTTCACAGGGCGAGTCTGTTTCCTTAGTCTGATTCTATTCAAACATAGCTATTCAGACAAGGGGTTACAGTCAACTAGAAATACATCTTATTTATAGATTTTTGCTTCCAAATACGCCAAGTTAGAAGATTTACATGGTTGATCACATCTTGAGAACAAAGGCCTTGAAAGAGTATTAAAATATCAAGAATTTGTTTCAAATACTTTTCAAAGTCTGATTGATTAGCTGTTATTCTAACCAGTGAAAATTCAGTAAAACCTCCCTAATTTTATCTTAATTTTTTAAATGACCTTTTTTTCTGATTATAAAATGAATCATATATGTTCGCTATAGCAAAGGCAGAAGATGAAAATATGCAGCCACATCCCAAGATGTAATACTGGTAATATTTTAGCATATTTTTCTAGATAAATATGTATGTATGACTATAGAGCTGTATGCACACATTATATATTAAGATAATATTGCATATAAAATTTTATGCCCTGCCTTTTCTCTTAGCATTATACTATGAGAATTTTCCCCACCGAATTAAAATTATTTCCAAAACATCATTAATGTGAAGGTCTGTGCCTGGGGGTTATATTCCTTAACTGATCATCTTATTTAAGGGAATACATACAATGTATACACTTAGGTAGTCACTATAATATTCTTAAAAGACAAAGTTTGGTCACAACCAAATGCCTAAGATTCATATATTGATTAAGTAAATGATGTAGGTCTATAGAGCCATGATCACTTAGTTTTCATATTAATTTAAGAACTACACTAAAATCGTGTGTTGCCTCTAATTCTTAGCTTAAAATGGTTGAAATATTTTAAACACTGGAATATTTAGTCTCTTGGTGTAAGATTTTATAATCATTCTTTTAACAAAATACAGATTGAGCATTCCTAATCCAAACATCTGAAATTAAAACCTAAAATGCAATAAAAAATTAAATTAAATTAAAAATTTAAAAAAAGTGTTCTTAAGTCTGAAACTTTTTGAGTCCTGATACTATGCCACTATTGAAAATTCCACCCACAAGTACTTAACTCAACTTTTTTTTCATGTACAAAATTACTTATTGTATAAATTTACCTCCAGGCTGTGCATATAAAGTGTATATGAAACATAAATGAATTTTGTGTTTAGACTTGGCTCCCATCCCCAAGGTACATCATTTTGTATATGCAAATATTCCCAACCCCCCCAAAATTCAAAATCTGAAACACTTCTGGTCCCATGCACTTTGGAAAAGGGACACTCAACCAGCAACTGTTAATTTTAAAATTGAAGAAAACTACTGTGTTTGAAAAAAATGCTGAGAAGCCCAGAAGAAGAGATGAGTGAACTATTAATACTGTCTTTCTTCCAAAATACATTCTTATAGTCGATTTCAAAAGTGTCACTCATTTGTTTCTTCTTATATACTACAGAAGATAGGGTCAGCACTTCTTTTGATTGTGATACCAACGATGATAGTAGCAGTCATGACTTTCTGTTTTCCCAGTTCCATCACTTAGATAACGCTATTGTTTCCTCTTACTAATTGTAGCTAGGCTCACTATTGAAAAATATGTTAAATCTCTTTTCCCTTCTATCCCCACTCTCTCTCACACACACAGGCACACAGACACACACACACACACACACACACACGACTTCAAGTGGTAGCCCTTTAACAAACAACAGGAGTCCCCATACCGTTATAAGTGCTGATGGTTCACTTCCTTCTTCCACGACAATTAGTTCAGACCTTCCTTTCCTTTCATTGTACCGAATGCCAGTAGCTACCTGGTGTGCCTTCAGACGTTCATATTTGTTGCATGAGGAACCACACCACTGATAAATTTCCTAAAAGAAAGAGACAGATCTGTTGACCCTAAGAATATGAGAAAGACATTCAGCCTCAGTGTAATACTTGTGATTATTTAAGAAAAAACAGGAAAATTAAATGACCTATTGTTAAGGTGTATATGTGATTATTATACTTCATTCTGCATCCTGCTGCTTCCGTTAGCAGTATAAAGTAAGCAGTTTTTAAGCATGAAAAATATAAATATATATATATATATATCCATTCTTTGTATATATAATCTATAAATTACAATTTATAAAAGTAAACATATGGATTAAATTTGAAATAATAAATATACCATACTTCAGAAAAGTAGTCAAGAATCTGTTAAGTAAGATACTCTTGATGATCATAAAATTGATATAACACTTTGGTTAAACTATTCATGTTTTTAAACTGACAAATACATATTGTATATATTTATCGTGTATAACATGATGTTTTGATATATATGTACATTTTGGAATGGTTAAATCAAGAGAATTAGTATATGCAAAGCAATTTAACAATTTTTATCAAGAAACATAAAAAGAGTGATATTGTTCTAGTAATATCACTATCTGGCACTTACTTTAATAAATTATTCATAAAAGGATAAAAGCACACACACATACAAGGGTTTTTATCGCTGTGTGATTATATTGCTGAGGCATTTATTGATGCCTGAAAAGGCATTAATTGTTCAAGAATAGGATAATAGTTATATAAATTATGATACATAGGGAAAATTGATACTTAACTGTTAAAATTATACTTTAACATCAAAACATGAATAAGTAGAAACAGAACATCAGTGCGATATAATGTGGAGGTGATATTAGCTACTGCTTAGACTAAACTACTACATAGTTTAGATTTTAGTATAGTGTCCAGAAGGTATACAAATAAAAAAGTAAAATAATAATAAAAATATATCCTCCATTAACAGGATTTACTAAAAGAAAGAGAAGTTGAACAATACCCAAACCTGGAGGGGCTGTTGGAATGGGCATTATCACCCACTATTTGGGTGGTATAAACTGACACAGGTTTTGTAAGGGTTAAGGTTTAGCATCATTACCAAATATTTAAATGTGCTTTTAATCCCAAGAAATTCCATTTATATGAATCTGTACTACAGAAATATTCAAATATGGGATATATGTAAAAAAAAAAGAAACAAAACAAATGCCCATCAATAAGAGGAGGGCTACATAAATGTCTTTGCATGGGTACTGTACACTCCTCTTCAGTAGTTAGAAATTAGGAAAAAATGTTTAAATACTTATTTAGAAAAGTAGTGAAGGCACATCATCAAGAATACAATAAATACATAGAAAAATATATTACATTTAAGTAGAAACAAAAACACAAGCTCCATCTCTGTGTTTGCACAAAAAAAAAGATAAACAGTTTTAAGAGAGTCAGAGGGCATGCAAATGCAGAAAGAAAGCCTTAATGCTTATTGGATCTAAGTCAGTGATTTTTTTATGTCATATATATTCCTAGGTGCTTATTATGCTTGGGATACAGAGATAAATAAGAAAAAACTAGCAAGGAGAGATGGACAGGTAGAAAAACTGGCTAATAATACATTTGCACCATGCTTGGTTTTCAAAACATTCCCACACACATTTCATTAATTCACCATATAGACTTGTGGTTCAGTGTGAGGGAAATGGACCTAGGCTGCCACTTTCTGGGCATTTGACAGTGTGTTTGCAATTTTTACAAAGAGTAAATAAACTAGTAACATCAAAATAAAACATCCAGGGAAATGAACTCTTTTCTCTGATTACATTTCCAGCCCAGAGTCATTTCTTCACTCAAAAAATGGTCTACTGAGTGCCTGAAATGGAGCAGCCTCTCCTGTAGGTACAGGAAGCATGGTTCTGAACAAAGTAGGCTTGCAACAGTCTCTCTGACCTGCCCCCTCAACATCCCTGATGACCTAATCCACAGTCTTCTTTAAGAATAAAAATATGCATTTTAGCAATGCAAAACTTTATAAGAAATAAAATAAAAATGATGACGTCTAGCAATCCTTTTCTCTCAAGAATCAAATACAGTTATTTATTATGGTCAAAGGGTGTTTCTTTCCTATTTCTAGAAGAATAGTGTACTTCTTTTGTTTCTTTTTAACCTCTTTTCTACATCTGAGCATTGGAATATGAGGCTCGCATATGGAGGTCATTTGAATACCATGCCAAATTTAGCAGTTATAACGAGGAAAAATAAATGACTCCCAGTGATCTGTCAACTCTTAGCTACTGAGCACTAAAGTCAGATAATGGAGTAGCAAGGTAATTTTAAAAAATAGATGTGAGCCCTTTTCTTAGGAAATCTCAGGTGTGTTCTGGGCAGCGGTGTTTATCAAAAGCTCCCCAAGCAATTCTAACATTCAACCAGTGTGTACCAGGTATGATGTACTCTGAACACACCACACCTGTCGTGCACAACAGGGAATTTGTAACATCTAATTATCCAGTGCAACTCAGTAGACTTTTCTGCTGAGCACAAACTAGTGTTGTTTTGAAAACAGTTTACTTATACTTGACTCATGACAGAGAAGCACTGACCCTATAAATCAGAATATTTTTCCCTACATGTATCTTTGATTTTAATTTTTAATTTAATAGTTTTTTGGGGAACAGGTAGCTTTTGTTTAGATGAATAAGTTCTTTAGCAGTTATTTCTGAGATTTTGGTGCTCCCATCACCTGAGCAGTGTACACTGTATCCAATGTGTAACATTTTGTCCCTCACCATCCCTCACCCTCCTGAGTCTCCAATGTCCAAAATATTACTCTTATGTCTTTGCATCCTCAAAGCTTAGCTCCCATGTGTGAGTGAGAACATACAATATGTCGTTTTTCAGTCCTCAGTTAGTTCACTTAGAGTAATAGTCTCCAATTTCATCCAGGTTGCTGCAAATGCTATTATTTTGTTCCTTTTATAGCTGAGTAGACTTAAATCTAAGAATTGAAACCATAAAGATTCTAGAAGATAACACTGGAAAAACCTTTCTCAACATTGGCTTAGGGAAAGACTTCATGACCAAGAACCCAAAAGCAAATGCAACAAAAAAAAAGGTAACTAGATGGGACTTAATTAAACTAAAAAGCTTCTTCACAGAAAAAGAAAGAACCAAGAGTTAACAGACAACCCACAGAATGGGAGAAAATATTACCAAACTATGCACTTGACAAAGCACTAATATCAAGAATCGACAAAGGACTAATATCAAGAATCTACAAGTAACTCAACACATCAGCAAGAAAAAAACAAACAATCCCATCAAAAGGTGGGCTAAGTATATAAGTAAACAATTCTCAAAAGAAGATATACAAATGGCCAAAAAACATATGAAATATGCTCAACATCACTAATGATCAGAGAAATGCAAATCAAAACCACAATGCGGTATCATCTCACTCCTGCAAAAATGGCCATAATGGAAAAATAAAAAAAAATAGATGTTGGCATGGGTGTGGTGAAAGGGGAACACTTTTATACTGTTGGGTGGGAACGTAAACTATGTAACAACCACTATGGAAAACAGTGTGGAGATTCCTTAAAGAACTGAAAGTAGATCTACTGTTTGGTATAGCAATCCCACTAGTAGGTATCTAGGAAAAGAAGTTTATTCAAAAAAGATACTTGCACACACATGTTTATGGCAGCATAATTTATAATTGCAAGAATATACAACCAGTCAAAATGCCCATCAATCAACGAGTGGATATATATATATATACCAGACTTTCACATTTTATATATATACATGCACACACATGCCATGAAATACAAACTAGTGTTTTTCTCAGATTCCTCTTCCTAGCTTATTTAATTATATTTTACACGTGATTATTTTTTCGGAAAGTCTGAGAAAGCAAACTTCTAATAATCATATTTTACATTAAAGTGAAAGTGAAGTAATCAGAACTTAGATCTCTAAAACTTTCAGGTTTATTAGCAAGTTTCACTACTGACTTACTAGGTATTTGTATAATCATTTAAGAGATGTTTATGTGTTTGTTACCTTAGTTGTATAAGTGACCTCTCATCTACTTAAAAGAGATTATATAAAATTACAGTAAATTTTATTAGCATCTGTAAAACATGATCAGAGCATGGTAAAATATGTTTTAAAGTGAATGAGAACATGATCATTTTACAAACATAATTATTACTTAACATAGGAGTCTACAAATATTTTATGGATCCCAGAATATTTTCTATGATATTACCGTGAGTTGGGAGTTTTACGTACGTATCAACTCAGAGGTAAATTTAGTTATAGAAAATATTTCTCATCACTGCTTAGAGACCACAGTTTCCCTAAGTTACTTAACTTTAAAATAGTAAAAACACATTTAGGAAATACAAAAATATTAAAATGTTAAAAGTGAAGATTTCTGTTTAACTTAAAGATGACTAAATTACTAAGCAAAGTGTTACAGAAAACTTCTGATTCAACATGAAAATGAATTTTTTGTCTCACTTTTTAATTTTCACCTTATTTTATACCACCATTTACATACAAGTGACATATTTTCCTATTTTATTAAATTTTTTATCTCAACCATTGAAAAGACTTATTTTTTATCTCAACCATTGAAAGGACTTACTTTTCAATGGTTGAGATAAAAAATTTAATAAAATAATAACTTTAATTGTAAATGGCTAAAAGTCACATTGCTTGACAAGTCATTATTAAAACATTGTTTTCTCTTTCTCTCTCTCTGTTTTTATTTTATTTATTTATTTATTTTTTGAGACAAGGGTCTGATTCTGTCACTCAGGCTGGAGTGCAGTGCTGCAATCTTGGCTCACTGCAGCTTCTGCCTCTGGGTCCAAGGAATCCTCCCGCCCTAACCTTCTAAGTAGTTGGGACTACAGGTGTGTGCCACCAAGGCTGGAGAACTTCTGTAATTTTTTGTAGAGATGGGGTTTCACCTTGTTGCCCAGGCTGGTCTTGATGTTCTGGGCTTAAGCGATCTGCCTGCCTTGGCCTCCCAAAGTTTTGGGATTACAGGTGTGAGCCACTGTGCCAGGCTGAAAACACCATTTTCATTCAATCTAATTACATGTTCATTCAATGGTCGTGGGAGTACATTAAAACTTGCTTTAATAGCCTAAACAGAATTTTAGTATTTCATCAAATTTGAAAATTTATATTCCATCATGTGTGGATAATGTGTTTAGGACATTTCATTTTAACAGAGCTCTAACTGTGAGGAAATAAATGTGTGGAGTTCTATTAATAAACTGTTCTGCCCAACACTTACTCTATTCAGAGATAGTTAGTTATGATTACTTCACCACTCTGGCACAAGGTAACTTTGTATTCAGTTGGCACCAGGCTTGAAAAAACTCTCTTCTATAATTAAACTTACTCTGTTTCCTCCAGGGAGTAAGCTTAAAAAATAAATTCCTTCATAAAGCTAAAAAAAGTCTGAATTAATGTGATAGGTAAATATATATTACTACAACAAAAAGTTTTCACTATAGTCTAAGTTATTTTATTTATAATGCTTTAACAGGAAATAGTTTAAAAACTATTCATCAACTTGATTTAAGTATGCTAGACACTGAAAATTGTAAAGCAAACACTTTCAGGGTCAACTATTTCACTGTCTAAGATCCTAAGGCATTTAACAACTCAACACTAAGTATCTTATTTCTTTAGGGAAGGAATTTGACATTTTATATTTACAAAAAAGCCCTGTAAATATAAAATTATCAATTTATGAATAATTTGGAATGAAATCTATTTAAATTCTGGCAGAAAGAGGATGATGTACATATTGCATATGAACATCCTCTAGTAGAAGTTTGTGGAACTATAATTAACTCTTAATATACGAACTACTAAAGAAAAACAAAATTATTCTGCACAATTGGAAAAAAGGAAATAAGACAATAAATACAGTCTGTTACTAGCAGTTAGTCTGGTCCACTAGTTACAAGAAATAAAAGCAAGCAAGTGATGATATTTATAGAAACAACCATACTTGGGGAGGGGTGTTTTATTATTTGCCTCGAAAACCAGAGGTTTCTAAAATTTCTTCAAACTATGTGGTGAGTTAGTAATGTAGCCAGACATCATGTGAGGACAGAAAACAAGGGCAAAAGTAAAACAAAGTTCAATGATGCCCTGGAGGAAAAGCAAGATTTCAGAGGCTGTGTTTAAAGGAGCACCCAAAACGGCCTATGTGATGTTGGCTCAATGTGTGCAAAGAATTCAGCATAGGCTTGCTGCTCTTTTGTCCTTTTCTAAGCTATTATTCTAGTCAAATCTAAAAGTTCATTAAAGGGGAATGTGAAGCCAGACCTCTTCCTCTTCCTGCCATATATTGGCTTTGTTTTATCTAGTTTCCCAAATATAGAAATCCATTAAGATGTATCTTTAGCCTTTAGGTTCTCTAACTATAGTTTAAAAATGATAATGATTTGTGAGATAACTCCAGGAATCCTTTTTATTTTGAAAGTGTAAAGTATGACTTACCTCATTTTTGAATAAACAAATGTTTCTTTACATCTATTTTGTTGTCTATCCAAAACCAACCCAACTCAATATTTATCAGTTACATATGTATTGAAATTTACTGTATGTTTTTCAAACTACCTCTGAATGAAGGATAGAAGATAAATACAGGGCCACTGAAAGCTTGGCGACCAGAAAGGAAGCAACTGTATTTGAATTAGAGCAGATCAGTGGTGACAGAGAGAAAAGAAATAAATATTTAGAAAGTCAAGCCTATAGGATTGGTCAGTAATGCCATTGGCTGTGCACTAGAGGACAGGGAAAAGGCAAATGACTTGGACAATTCTATCTTGGTTGCTGGTAGTGATGCCACTCACTGGACCAGATAAACAGTTTTGGAAGGGTTCTTTGCGTGGCGCCAATGAGCACAGGTGAAATTATGTTCTCTTACTAGTATTTGCCAAAACGAAAAAAAAAAAAGACTTACAGTCATACTTTAACAAAAAGCATTTCTGCCAGCCATATAAGTTGGTGACTCAACTGCTCAATCCACATGAAGAGTTACTGCTTCTTCATGCATATTGTTATAGGTAGTTACACAGGCATGAGTGGGGCAGGAGAGAGCTCTCCTCCAAACATTAGGAAAGTCAGGTGGTTCGGCAATTATCCCATAGTCTCTCTAAAAGTGATAGGTTGGCAGCTGGCACCTGAAAGAGGGCGTTTCCTGACGGTCCACACCGATTACACTAAATGGGAATGCAGATGCCAGGGAGAAGCAACTATTGGGCATGTGCAAGAAGAGACAAATTGGTGGAGTATGACCTTCTAGGGTTGCACCAGTGGAAAAAAGAAGAAAGCCTGAGATGGGCATGTGTATGACTTCCTAGACACACTGCGTGTGCTCACCTCCCGTGGGTAAGGAAGGCACTGCGCATGCGGGCGGTCCACCCTAACAGAAGAATCACTGGAAAGGAGTCTATTCCATTCCTTTCCTTCCTGTTCTATGGCCTTTAAAAATAAATTTCCACTCCTGCGCTGAAACTTGTCTTGGTCTCTTTTTCTGCCTTATGGCCCTCAGTCAAATTGTTTCTTCTGAGGAGGCAAAAACTGAGGTTGCTGTAGACCTATATGGATTTGTCACTGGTAATTCGGAAGACTTCCACTGGTAACAATATGGTCCTGATTTGTCCAGCACCTTTAGATATTTTCTTGAAGTGATTTTCAATATTCAATGTACATTATCTTATGGTATCCTGGAGAGAAGGGGACTTAAGAAGTACCAACACCAAATTCCAAAACTCTAAAATTAGAATCTTTAGGAGTCAAGTTACAGTCATCAGCATTTTAAAAAACTTTTCCAAATGATTCTAATGTGAAACTATGGCTGAGTATTAAAGTACAAATCACACCTTAAGAGTTGCCTTTCTTAGTGCCCTCATCCATTCTCCAATTATAACGGGTTTATACCTTTCCTCCAGCATGTCTCACATTTTACCTTGCCATCCTCTTACTTGTGTATGTGTCTACGACTCCCAGCATTTGACAATACTTGGAGGTCAAAGCCTATCTGCTGTTTACCCTTACAATTCTACTCACCCAGCACACACTAGGCACTGAATAAATGCCATTCATCTCAACTTTAACTGCAGGATACATTTTAGAGGTTTAAAATTTGGTGTACCTTTCCCATTATCCATTCTTGTTGCCTCAAGGCTCTCCTTATATAAATCTAGTGGTATGTATTAACTTTGCGGTAAGGTATATATCCAGAACAGAGAAGATTTGGTTCAGTCTCTTGTTTTAAAATAGGCATTTTTAAGGAATAGCAGAGACAGAAGTCTGAAAGCCAACATAGTTTTAATTTAAAAGAACCTTGGTTTTGCTAAAGTTTTTGGCCAGGATAAGTGAGGATGCTGTTTCGAAAGCTGGTCTTGCATCTTAAGCAGCACAAGGTCTTAGGGGCTGGGTTATATTTTGCAGGAACCATAGAGCAGGCAAAAATGTGAGATGGTGTAAGACTAGTTTGTCTGGTTCAAAAAGTAAAAAAGAAGAAGACTGAGAGAAGTAGGAAATCTAACGCAAAGCAATGAATCTCTGAGAAGAGAGCAGCACACTTTCATTCAAATTGAATCGTCCTACCCCCATCCATGAGCCTAAGCATTAGAATGGAAATGACCGAGGGTAGCATCCAAGCCATTGGGCCAGTGGCCACAGGTATGATGAGGATACCATGACCCACAACTCCAGGGTAGCCTGGGAAAAACAAAGCAGACTTCCTGAGAAGAGTGTAGTAGTGGCTGACAGAACCAGAAAAGGTGTTGCAGTGATATGTAACCACGTCAGAAGACCAAAATGAGGCTGTGGTTATTCCTCAGCAAATGTCTTGGGAACAGAGGCCAAAGCCCACAGCTCAAGAATGAATGGAATGACTATGCCTCAATGAAAGTTACAGATTAGTGAAGACTGCTGACTGCAAACCAGACTCACACTTCCATCC